ACCTCCCCTTATCGTTCTTCAAAGGAAAGTCAGAACCGCGTTCTTTCATTCACGGGGTGCGCCTCTTCTCGTCCCTCCTCTATCCACGAAAACTGTCCTCCACCCCCCTGGACGAAAAATATCACCGGGCGAAATTGCGGGACGGTAACGAGGGCAATGCTCCGTCTACCGGAAAAGTACCGTCCTCGAAGATTCTAGGTCTCCCATTTTTAGCAACTCGTTTCTCCGTGGATAAGCGGCTGGTGTAATTCCGTTTCGGGACCGATGGTCCCTAATTCATACTTTTTTTCCGTTCTGTCGCTCCCCTGCGTGTCTCTCCCTCCATGCGACGTTACTCTAATAATAAACGTTCTTCTTTCTCTCTGACAAGAAGACAATGAAATAAATTGTGTCCATGGATCTAACGAGCTTCTTGGTATCAGCCGCACCTGACTTTAAATTTTCTTACGACTTTATTGTACAGTAAATCCTCGATGAATGTTCGAAGGCTTTTCAGCACTGAACATTAAATTTTTCGTAAATCAATGGCCATATACGGCTGAGACAAATATCATTGGCTTCGGAATTCCTGGAAGAAGGCACTTACCACGTCGAGAATATCCTCGACTCGTACCACTGGCACACACAGCCGTAGCCGACAAGCTTATCGATCGTTTAACGATGACTTCGCGATAACCGTCGTCGACCGCCAGATCGGAAAAGAGAGAAAGATCCGCAATGGGATAAAGAAGGGTGTCGCGAGGGTTGTATAGGTATGTTCCACGGTCCACGGTACATACATATCTCGACGAACCACGACGTAACGGGGTTAAAAGGGGGGCTGATACACGTGGACGCATACACGAAATCGATTTGGTCCCGCCTTCGTTTATAGAAAGCCACGAAACCGACCGTTTCGAGGCCTTCTATTTTTAACCGTATTCGGCCCGGGGGTGGGGGGGAGGGGGTTAAAAACGGTGTTACCACCCTCCGTCACATCCAACTGGGTCATCGTGTCTCGGAATACTTCCGTACAGATTCTTCGAATGCTGTTCGAACGAAATTATCAAAAGGAGTTCAGGTCATTTCGTTCCATTTCAAAAATGAAGTTGACCTTCGTACAACCTCTGCGCGTCCACCTATCAAAAAACTGTTCACATGAAATTATGTGCTCCTCGATACCATCCAGATTCGGTCTGACACATTTTTTTCTATCGGCAGTTACAGACTCGCCATGTATTTTAGTTCATATTACATCAATCTTGATTCACGAAGCCCATCCAAATCCCACGTATATGAAATCATGATAGTCTCGAACTGTAAATTTTCATGTTGTCGATTGGATACCTTCGAACGAAAATGGCGAGAAATAGCAAGAAAGTCGGTTCTGAGACGCGATTTACGCGTGCAGGGATGAACAAGCGCCTCGCGATTTCGACGACGATGCCCCTCCGATGGCCGTGGTTGCAGGCGGTAAGGGGAGGGCTATCGATTCGGTTCGATTGCCGAAAAATGGTAATGCGGTCGGGCAGAGGCGGCGAGCACCTCCTCCCCAGGAAGGACGTCTCAATTTCGATGGTACGTGCCGTAGGAATGCGAAACGAGGCCACTCCACACCGACCGGCGGAACGGGGAATCTTCTCGAGGATGCCACGTAGAGAGAGAGAGGTTCGACGTGTGCACCGCTGAAATTTCACAGTTAAATCCCTTGCTGATAGAGAAGGAATGTAACGGTGCGCTTTACGTTCCTCCCTACTTCCCCCTCCGTGGCCGCTGTTCCGCGTTAAAATCCAGACTGTGAGATACGTTCTTTCCGTATTTCTCGTGTAAACCGCTTTCAACGTCGTCTGGCAGGAAATATTATTTAGGTGTTTGTACGTCGTGTATCGTGCTCGATGGAAAGTTAGTTGTACAGCGTTTGGGCTACTTTAACCCATTGAATGCAATTCAACGACGTACGTGTATATGTATATTCTAATCTAGTATAGGTATAAGGCACTTTCTGCAGATGATGTATTCGAATGTATACACTGCCAGGCACGACTATAAAACCACCTTAAAGTTGTCAACCCTTATGTAATGTGGTTAAAATAGAAATGAACCACTTTTTTTTCTAGGTAATATAATCTATCCCTTTTTGGAGAATCATTATCTCTCAACACGATTTTCTACAGTTTTAAGACGCATAAATCAGCAATTTCTAGATGTATTATTCTATGCAAAGGTAAATTGATCGTGGCCATAGTTCGTCGAATTTCAACCGGAATTTCCGAATAGCTTCGTCTCGCGCATGCACGAACGATATAATACCGTATGAAGAGACGAGATTTCCGGAACCGTGCATTCTCCGTGATTTATGAATCAACGGGGCCAAGAGTCGTCAGCTATCGATGCCACGAAATACAACCGAGAGAGGATCCGTGGGGTTGGAAGAGGCTCACCGTGACAGACAGACGTGATTCATTGCAGCAAAGGGTTAAGCCTATTCGCATAATCAGACAGCGACGTATCACCTCCGGCATTAATTACGGGACCGTACAACACACGTATTTATCAAACTGATTGCTCCACGAAGGTAGCAAAGGGTGTGATCGAGGGAATGCAGAATCGAGACGTATACGGATTATAAAATATAGAATGGAGAAAGTTCAATCGCAAGACACTTAATTATTCGTCGACTGTGAGAAAAGCTGAATATTAACGGAAAGTTGCGCGCCTGTCAGCCTGACGCCGATTTAATCCGCGAGTTCTCGCGCGACCAGAAACTTCTCCCCGCCGAAGAAATTTCCGATCCACGGTATAATAACGAACTCCGCGACGGGGGATGATCCCTGTCGCGCGCTCCTAGCAAATGGATTCGCGAACTTTCTGGTTTTAAATATCAATTGAACTTGGCGGAACTCGCATCTGCATTCTGGCAGACTCTCTGCCGAAAACATACACGGAACAATACGAGAATACTCGTCGACAAATATTCGTCGCTATACAAGATAAACGGGGGACAACCGGTTTAAAACGTAGCTTCGATAAGGGCGAACTCCGAGCAACCCCCGTTGAATAATTAATTCGAAGACGAATCCGCCCCAGAGCCTCCAGTCTTGGCCGGAAACGGTGGAATATCCACCGAGGTGTAACTTGGCAGGAAAATGGAGTAGAAGAGAAAAACTGTGGCTGGTGAGGTAGGAAGTTCGCTGACCTTCGTTCGTTTTTCTCCGACCTTCGTAACCTACAGAGCCGAGCCTCCGCAACCCCTATCGCGCGCTTCTTCCCCAAAAGATGGCCCAACGAGCACACACCACAAGTGAGTGTAAACATTTCCTGTGTTGTCAAAATTACGACTTCGAATTCGCGATTCTCAAAAATCAGCACGTTGCCATCAAATATCGTCCACGTGTGCCCAGGTTGTCCTGAATAATTGCTGCCTGAATTTTTCCTTATTTTTAAGTCTGACCATCATAAAATGAAATCATAAGTTATTTCTCTTGTCTGTTTGCTTTCAGTGGTAATATTTACAAATGATTAGTAATAACATAAGTCAAAGGATAGTTTAATGATCTAGGGTTATATTAGTCATTGATGTAAGTGAATTACGAACGATGCACCAATTTTGGAATACACTTTCGACCATCAGGAGACGCGTACATCATAGAAAACGATGGTTCCCCCAGTTTTAACTGCCACTCAATTTAAGAACCACCCCTGAACCGTGTACATTTTCCCTAATGGAAGCAGTTTTACGTGGAGGGGAGTGGATGGGAGCGGGTAACGACGCGTCGGCGTAATATCGAAATGCTCGGAAATGCAATTTCCAACCCCTTATACGCATCCGTTTCTTGCCCGGGCTATGATATTCCACGACGCGGGATGAAAACCAAGGAGAGACGGGAGAGGGAAAGGAAAAAATATCGCGAAACTGAAACGGTTTACGTTTTGTGCCCGCTTTAATACACTATTTACAAACCACCCCTGCGCACAAAAACAGGCGAATAGAAGTTTCCTTTGCTGGGCTTGCAACACGATATAACCGCGCATTTACTTGCACGGGAGGGGGAAGGGGTTGAAGTTTGCCTGTGTGTTTAACGATCATTTTCTGTGCGGCTGTTATTAAAAAATAAAATATAGTGTTTCGCGATTTCGATGCATTTATGCAAATTATATGATCCGTGAGAGTGCCTCGAAGGTAGGAGGATAAGGGGGAGGTTTCGTGTACGGTGACCTGGCTGGATACGCAGAGAGGGAGAAAGTATCGGTAGAGAGGTGCAAGGTCACGGGGATTAAACCGATAGGGGGTAGAGGGGAGGAGTGTGTTCGTCGAGGAGCAGTTTTCGCGTAGGAATCGGGAACGAGAGGGAGACTTTGACGAGGGGGTGCACCGCACACGCAACGCGATTCCGTGGCCGGGGCAGTCGTCGACGTTGCTCGCGGGTGAAGCAAGAGAGCCCCGTCCGTGGGAGAGATCGATCACAGGTAGACTCTGCAGCGGCAACCTAACCCTTGCGTTTTATCGAGCCGCGTATAGCACAGACCACGGTTAACCGGACGCGAAAACGAGAGAGACGGTGAAACACGGGAAACGGCGAGTGGAGGTATAACGGTGTATGCGTTTTATCGCCGGCACAACACGAACATATATAGAGAGGCGACTCGTGAAACTTTCAACCTGCGATCATCGACGACGATGATGGTGATGGACTCCAACTTTACACACAATTCATAACAGAACGGGATGGACTAAGGACGCGTCTGTCAGAAACTGGAGAAACGGCTATCGATTTAAAAACACGGCGAGACACATCGGAGGGGTTGTTGACTCGCGGGAGAAAAGAAACGAACGTTCGTGGAACCGCGCTCTATCCTAGGCGAGGGAGGGTGCAATACAGAGAAGGAACGTGCGTGTGGTTTGAAAAAGAGAGATAGACACAGCGTCGGTAGATTGTGCCAGCTTTTATGAAGAGACGGTACAGAAATTTTAGAATACATATACGTATACTTATATATTAGTTATATGTATGGAGACTCACCTAGGCTCCGCAGGTGATTCCGCGACGACGGATGCGGCGGATGTAGAACCGTAGAGATAGAGAGATAGAGATAGAGAGAGACAGATAGAGAGAGGTTGCCTCGAAAAACAGTAGTGTACGACGAGGACTACCGGCGAGGACGACGACGACGACGTCCGTACGAGTCTCACGTTTAGACTACGTGCGTTTCCCCGGTCGTCGGCGGCGGCCGGCGGTGGCGGTGGTGGTGGTAGCGGCGGCGGTGGTGGTGGTGGTGGTGGTGGTGGTGGTGGCGGTAGTGGCGGCGACAATGGTGGTGGTAGCTGCTTTCTGTCCGCCCCGAAGCGGGAGAAAGAAAGGGAGGAGAGAGAAAGAGAAAGAGAGACAGGGACAGAGAACGATGTGATCGAAGTCTCGTGGCAAACGGTCGTGGACTGAGTGCACCTGTATTCCAACCGAGGCGGCAGAGTTGCTTTTGACGACGACGCGAGCGACGCTGCGCGGAGGGCTAACGAATCACCGTCGATCGATCGAAAGTGGTGTGAGGGTGAAGCTCAACGGGGTGAAACGGGGGGAAACGGGGGGTTACCCCAGGAGGTGGAGGAGTAAAGAGAAGAAGGGCTGGCGCGCACCGACGGAGCCACGAAAGAGGGTGCACGACCAACGGAACCCTACCGTCGGCCCTTTCGGTGGATAGGGGTGAGGGAGGGCGACGAGTCGAGTTGGGAAGAGGGCGGGGCGTACCACACTCTGTCTATATATGCCTTTTTCTCTGTTCATCTAGCCGTCTCTCTTTCTCTGGCTATCTCTATCCCCTTCTCCCTCTGAGAGAGCCTTTCCTCATCCCTTATCCCACTACCCCTCACTCTGTTCCTCTATACACAAATGACCCTCTATATCGGACTATTTCTATGTTTTGTACACCCTCTCTCTCTCCTTCCACGTTCCTCTCGAGCCTCCGTTCGCGCTTTTTCGACTACACGAGGATCATCTCCGATCCCCACTCCAGGTTCGAAATATAAATGAAAGTTCATGCTGGAACGTGTGTCCCCTGTGACCTTGTTACCGAGTTACACCGTGCCGCGCTTCTACGTCGATTCTTTAACGGTGGACCGTAACCCTTCCCGCCCCTGAAGAAGTTGCAGCCTGTATATATGCTTCCTGGACGATAATATTAATGAGATTCGCGTGGAATTCGTTAGAGACGTTGTACATTCACGAACGGTCAACAATCGTGGCGATTACAGTGATTCACAAAATTGTTCACGAAAGGCTGTCATCTCTATTTGACCAAATTATTTACCGATCAAAGGTTGATCAAAAATTGCATTTGAAATTGTTTTCAACCTAATTGTTATCTTAAAAGTTTCCGTACGAATACGTGACGCACTGTATTACACAGATCGTTCTGTGCCCCTTCTTTCTCTCCTCCACGTTCGATCCTCTTTGGTTCCTTCCTGGATAAGCATCTCTGACCGTCGTGCAGGTGCGCTAGCCTCGAAACTATCGACGAACACCACTACCCCCTCCATTGTGTATGTGTGTGTTAGGTGCACCACGGTGAACTTTGCTTCGTACGCTGTGCGGTTGCAAAAACCCGGTGGATGGATATGGATATATATATATATGTATATAGGTCGTCGAAAGTTGATGAAAATTTCGGCTTGAAACGTTGCGCCATCCCCGTTCCGCCCAGCCGCGGATAAGATGAGAAATTTCGCCGGTTATCGTAAACGCTTTAGCCTTTAAAGCTTCCCTCGTAAACCGCTCGAGACTGGCGAATATAGCCACGTTCCTGCCAACCCCTCTACCAACAACCGTCTCCGTTATGCCTCATTCGAATGCTCGCGCTATGGATGGCTGCGTATTTTATGAATCGATAAAAGGCCGAGTCGACGGTTGTTGTTTCGCTCATCTGGCTCGCGATACACGTATACCTAATGCACACAGAGAACGCTGGCTCGTTCGCGCGCTGTGGAATCTCGTCTATATTCGCCTTCTCTGTTTTTTTTCCCAACACGATAAAAGACGCCTCCCGTCATCGTTCGTTGGATCCATTAAGTAAACGCAATTTCTACCTCCTGGAGCCGTCGCGTGCATGCGGACGGTTTTCCAGAACGGGAAGGGACCACCAGGCGGAAAAATGACGAATTTGGGTCAACGTTATTCCAAACGGAAAAACTTGCAACGATGAAATGAATAATCCCGGGGCGCGGAGTTGCCCGTGAATATTTTTATTCCAAGAGGATCTTCAGGGATCCACCTGGATTCGAGACGAGTACAGTAAATCCTCGGGGAGTGTTCACAGACTCATCGGCACTGACAAGGAGAGGTCCCCAAGTGTAACGCTAACTTTTTAACAAGGTTTAGCACTGTAATAGGGCTCGGAATTCTAAAGCCAATTATATTTGTTTCAATCGCATATGACCACTAGTTTATGAAATGTTTAATGTTCAGTGCTCGAGAAGCCTTGAAACACTGATCGAGGATTTACTGTATTGTTTCTCGGATTCAGTGTCCATCGAAGTAGTAGTATAGAAGTAGTGACCAACGTTTGGGGCGTTTAGTTTTCGAATCAAACTAATGCCCCCCTTCCCCCTCTGCGCTAGATAGAACGAGCTTTAATCAGCGTAAAAACTGAATCAGTGATCGAATTCTGTACACGTTCCTCGTGTATGTGTGTTCGTATACAGCCACGAGATGGGAAACGCGACGACAACTGTACTGCTCGAAACAAGGGGAACGATGTCTCCTTGTATCAGGCATCGTACCAGAGCTCGTACGTTGACCATTCCGGACGATATAACGCATCGGATGGGGTGGGGGGCATTATCATCGAAATTTTACGAGTGTCTAGAATCGGTGCTTGGCATGGTAACCGTCGCTATTGGTATACGCGATGGCTAATGGGGTGACATAGCTCAGCTTTATCTCGCGATGTCGGATGAATCACAGTGGTGATCCCGACGATAAATCGATGCGTTTGCAGAGGCGTAAACGGGAATCGGGCCGAACACGCGACAATTTGAAATAAGCATTCGTCGGGTGATACTCGAGAAAGGGGGTTCACTTGCGTTTTAACCGATAACGGCGGGTCAAAGTATTTGGATATTTTATCGATCAAAAACTTTTTCATCGTACCCTCGTAACATTACGTTTCTGGATCGTTACGAACGATCATTTCGACTTTATATCGACATTATAACGTGTATCCTTAACCCTCCTACGCTCTTTGGTCCAGCTAAATCGCATTCGAAATAACGAAGGAAGAAGACACTATACAGATCGGTAACGATTTCCTTACGCATCTCGCGAATCCAAGAATATTGTACACAACTAAGTCGAAAGCCCCTGTAAAATCATGCGAGCATCGAGACAATGGATAGAAAGAAAGGAAATGGAAGAAAATTAAATCGAAATAGTCCTAGAACTCTCTTGCCCGAAGACCAAAGAATCCGATCACTCGATTCAGCCTCGCGTAGAATTAATATTCAGTGACCAGGACTTCCACGATGAAAAAGTGGACACCCACCGTTAGCAGAATTACACGTGCCGGTGACAGAGCCCGAACGAAACCGGATTGGCCGGACGACACGCGTGTCAGAGATGCATCTCTGCGAACGACGCCAGAAATCTTTACGCGAGACCGTGAAACGAGGGAGGCCCCGACCGGTCGAGTCATGGACGTAGGGGCTCGCGAACCGGAAATTACGTGATTTCCTTGCATTCTGCGAGCCGTTGAATGCTTTACACCGAGCCACGCCGCTCCCGGGGTTCCTCGCCATCCACGGAATATCGAATTCCTAATCGAATCAATAATTACGGGAGGCACACCCACGCCAAAGGAAGGAATTGAAAACACGCTGCTGGCTTCTCGTTGTTGAAACCCCTAAGGGGAATCTTCTTGTCTCGGAACCTTTTCCTTTTTTCAAGCGTACGTGAGTATGTCCTCCTTTTGGCGAAGAAAAGCAACGGTAGAAAGGGAAATTGTTGGAGCAAACCGTGGCGCTCGTTAGTCGAATCCCAAGACAACGTCGCGAGCATGATCGTTAATGAATTAAATACGAAGTACCGCGGATGCCGTGTAATTTTCCGGTTTGACGAGCAACGCTTCTGACGTGTAACGGGCCCCGGACCTGAACGCACGTGTGGAGAGCTGAAATTTCATTCGTTACACTTGATAGTCAAAGGATGTTTACAATTCGCTTACCGTCCGTTTGCGAATCGTCAATGCACGGTAAGAACCGTCGGAAACGGGGCCTAAATGTGTGCGTTGTGTCCACATACACCGACTGCATACGTGAAATTCGCGCGACGATTGTGTGTCGATCTGTCCTCCACGATTCCTCGAGGATCAACGATGTTCCACATGAAACGTCGAAAAGAAGGGGGTAAGGAAACACAAAGTACGAACTTATACGTTCATCCTTCCTTGTTACGCAAACCTTTGCTCTGATCTTTAATCTCTGAAAAGCAGATTGAACACGACGTTTCGATCAATAAATTACCCCCGCTACCTTTCAACCGTGTTTAAAGGGGATGTGTCATTAGCACATTATACAGAGACACAAATATATACAGGAGAAAGATCGTTTCTATAGGTATACCCCTGTTTAAGGTCTGTTCCCAGCGAATTGGTGAACGCTTCTCTCGACCGTTTGAGTAAATATTTACAATAAGGGCACCACCTCCGACTTCGATGATTTTTCAATATGTTGTCAAAGTCATCATCCTGAATAGCATTGTGATGTTTTTAATTGGGGATCACCGTTTGTAGAAAAGTTATTAACGATCGATTCGCTGCAGTGATCCTTTCGCGAAATTTCCGCGACGTGAAATCAGCACAGGACATTCAATTATTGCTCTAGGTCGGAAAGCAGCCGACAATAATGCGGCCACAGCATTCGTTATCTCGCTGGGAGTACGGTTTACCGAAGCAACGTCGTGGACACGAAAAAATCTGAACGCTAACGAAATAATCCCAGTGGGAGACAGGGGGTTGGTTGAACGTCGCGAAAGACAATCGTGTTTTCTCGGTTTTTGGGATGCTTATCACGGTCCACATAATTCCGAGACTTATAGCCAAGCAGTATATACCTCTAACATGGATTTGCACTTCGCCGGTCTGAGCGCGTGATTCGAAGCAATGCCTCCTGGTACCAAAGTCTGCCGGGCATTTCGGGGAA